ACAAATCAAGTTACAGAGGGAAAGTGGTTCTTACAATAAAAGGACTATAGACTAGCACTTTGTCTATATAGTGTAGAGGTTAGGAACCACAAGATGTAGAGGCTCAGCTGTCATTTATGGTTCTTAAGTCCTGGAGGAAATTCCATCTACCACTGGGTTGTTTTACAACTTGGAAGTTCGAATGCAAGGTAGAGGTAAAGTAAGGAACTGCTTATGAGGTTTTCCGTCCATTCCAACAACCTAGAAATAGTGAGAAGAGTTGGGACCTCAGAAGGCTTTTAGGACCAATTAGTAGGCTCTGTGTCCAGGAGAAAATGAATATACTTACCAGTATTGTTAATGCTCACCCACAGCTCTTCTGGGAGGGTCTAAATCATTGAAGCATCCTCCTTTGTTTCCAGTTGGGAGCTGGGGCCTGTCAGTCTTGTCTGCCATGAGGACTTGATGTGGGCCACTTCGGCCAGGTGTCCTTCAGAGCCACACTTAAAGCAAGTGAGTGGGAGCTTCCTCTCTACTTCCTTGCCTATCTGTGGCTCTCGTCTGTGACACTGTCTACTGAAGTGGCCCAGCTTTCCACAGTGGAAGCAATTCTGACCTCCTTTATTACCTTTGGGTGGCATTAATATTGATAATAAACCAAATGCTATGTCAGGAGAGGAGGGAGTCTGATACAAGCTGGAATTCACCCTGTAGCACCAAGGCAATCCTCAAATGTTTACAGGGGTAGGCATTAAGGCAATCCTTAAGAGTCTACATAATTCTTATTTTGTATTTACTGAATCCCTCCATCCTGAGATAAACATAAGGTAAACAACAGAGAAGAATTAAGCCTTATTTACAAAGGACTTCCCCATGATTCTTTGTTTTTATTTACTATTCCCATGTGATTTTCCTTTGTTTACCTTCCTGATGATTCTCAACAAAACCCCAGAAAGGCATAGCATAGGGGCTGTAGTTCTCCCAGCTGTTAGTCCCCTGCCTTCACAGTTTCTAGCCTGACCACCATTCCTGTGTGTCCCTGTCACTGTTTTTCCCTTTGGTCAACATTTCTGCATCTGGACCAAGGACCTGAAGAGGAGGTAGTTTCTCTCTCTCTCTCTCTCTCAGACACCAGGAAACCAAAAGAGAATTTGCTCAGGGTATGTGAAACTTTTGGGAAAATTAAAGGCAGGGTCATGAGGAAATCCTCACCCCTTGGAAGTCAAGGATAGAAGTAGAAAAAGTTTCATGGGAAAATCCTCAACCCTTGGAAATCAATGGTAGAAGTAAAAAAAGTTTCATGAGGATTCTCTCACCCCTTGAAGGACAAAGTCAAGGAAAGTATTAGAAAAAATTTTCTTGGAGACTTTCCCCAAACTCTGAAGTAAATTGCTTAAACCCCCCTCAGACCCCCCAAAAAACCCTCAGAGTAAGCTGTGAAAAAAAGAGTCATGGGGGCTGCCCCATCCTCTGAAGCTCAGTATATTTCTCTCTTAAGGGAATCACTTAGGAGTTCAGTGGTAAAGGAGAAAGAAAAATCTTTTTTGCGGTTGTTTCGGCATGTACAGAAACATTACAGGTTTAAGTCAGTAGGTAGAGCACAGTTAAATTTAAAAACTTGGCACAATGTTGATAGATTTATGAAGAAAAAATAAAAAAAGAACAAATTCTTACTGATTTTCGGCCAGTATAGACTTTGATAAGAATAGTAACGATGTTTGTGCAGGATTTTACTCACAATGAAATAATTTTGCAAAGAGAGATGGCTGAATCTTTTTGCATGAATATAAATTAAGTGATAGTACATTAGAGAAGGCTAAAACTGAGGGCGGGAAAAAGCCTTTGCCACCTTTAGAAGAGATGCTGTCCTGAATTATTATTTTCTCTTAATTGGCATGTGTTGACCCAAATAGTGCTCTTCCCAGGAAATGATTTACAATTTAAAACATGGTTTAGAAAGAGAAAAAAGAAAAAGGTTGTAAGGCTCAAAGCAGAAGCCTGTGTTTGTGTTGTTTTGGTTTTTAAGTTTGTTATTGTTGTTTGTTGTCTTATTGTATTATGTTTAATGTAATAATAGTTTTGAGCTCATACAATTTGATAATTTCAGTGAAATAAGAAAAGTAAAAGCTATAAGAATGAAGCTAACTTAAGAGAAAAATCTTGATTTGGAAGATGAAGTAAGCAAAGAATAAGTTAGAGTAAAGATAGAGAAATAAACTTAAAAGCAGCAGCTGAAAAAAATTGAATAAGGATAATATCTGTAGTAAAAACTTTTATAAAGAAACTGTATTTGAAAGCTGGCTAGTTTTTCTTTGGTAGTCTGGAGTATCCTTTCTCCATACCTTTTCAATCTGCACACAGAACAAATAATTTGGGAAACTGAACTCTACAAGAATGTGGCATCAGGAGAAGAGGAAGACTCATCAACAACTTGTGTTATGCAGATGATATAGCCTTGCTTGCTCAAAGTGAGGAGGACTTTAAGCACTTGTTGTTGAAGATAAGAGATTGTAGCCTTCAATGGATTGTGTCTCAATGTCAAGAAAACAAAAATCATCATCACCCCTTGACCCATAAGAAACAACAGGCTAGAAGCAGTTTTGGAGAAGGATTTTTTCCCCCTCTTTTCCCAAAATAGGTTTGTTGTTATGGCAGTCCCTGGTATATTCACAACTCTTTGCTAACATCACAATTCAAAGTCTCAATTCTTCGATCTTTGTTATTCATTGTCTAACTTTTACAAGCATACTAAGCATTTGGAAACATCATTGCATGGATCAGGAACACCTTACTTTTTAAACTGACATCCTTGCTCTTTAGCACTTTAAAGAGGTCCCTGACAGCAGATTTTCTCAATATAATGTATATTTTTACTTTTTCTATTTTACTAATACTTTTATCATTCATACATATGTATATATGTGTTTCTTGCATGTACACTGTCTTTTATACAATCTTTCATTTACATTATATTTAGCTCTTGTATTTTTTTAACTTCTTTTTTTTAAATTTAGTTTGTTTATTTGTCATTTCTTTTTTTTTAACTTCTTAACTGCTGCTTTCATGGTTATTGCTTGTGGATTCACATAAAGTAAAATCATTGATAATGTCAAGCTTTTCTTGGAAAAGATTCTTACCGCTTTCCCAGATCTGAAATAAAGTGCTGTGGATATTGAAAAAACAAAACAAACCAAACAAATCCAGAACAAACAAACAAATAAAACATCAGGCTAGATGGAGGAAAGATTAAAATTGTCAGCAACTTCATCTTATTGGAATCCACAAATCATGGACTGCCAAAAGAACAAACACATGTCCTGGAGAAAATGCAGCCACAGTGCTTTCCATAGGCAAAGATGGCAAAGCTTTGCTCACATATTTTTAGCATTTTTCTAGAAGAGGTTGTTCTTTGGAAAAGGAAATCGTGCTAGGAAACATGGAAGGTCAGTGAAAGACCCTCAATAAGATGGACTGACACAGTGACCATGGCAAGGGGCTCAAGTGTATCAGAGATTATAAGGTTGACACAGGATATGACAGTGTTCAGATTTATTGTTCATAGAGTTGTGGTATTTTGCTTTTTGGTTTTTTAAAATAATTTTCTTTTATCTCATTATATTTTGTGTGTGTACCGTCAAATCAGATCTGACTGGTACAGGAGGAGATTGTTCCTCCTTCTCCAGCAGAGCATCTGGTGGATTTGAACCGTGCACCTCTGAGATTGTAGGGCACATAGGGTTGTTTTGAGTCATACTCCACTTGGTGGGACCTAACAACAAGAAGTGCATGCTTAAGTGAGTTCTGTGGCTCCATGAGAAAAAGATAGGACAATCTTCTCCTGTGCAATTTATAGCCTCTAAGACCCAACTACAGGGTCAGCTATGAATCAGTTTTGACTTAAAAGTACTTAACAATAACAGCAGTACATACTTAGGTACTCTGGTGATGTAGTGTTTAAGATATTGCACTCCTAATTTAATGGTCATCAGTTCAAGTCCACCAGGTACTATGTAGGAGAAAGATGAATTGTTTCCTCCTATAAAGATTTATAGCCTCAGAAATACAATGACAGGCCACCGTAAGTTGTAATTGATTTAATGACAGTGGGCAGTCCATACTTGAGTTTTGGTGGCATGGTGCATTACATATTACATCACTAACAAAGAAGTCAGCAGTTTGAGCTCACCAGCTGTTTCACAGGAGTAAGATCTGCAAGCTAGTCCTGTAAAGACATACAGATTTGGAAACCTAAGGGAGGGTTACCATCAATTGACTCAATGACAATAGATTATGTTTTGTTTTTTCTCAGTACATACCTGCAATTATGTCTTTTTATCTGACAGCTCCTACATGAAGGCAATTCAAACCACCATTGTAACATTTTTCTGTATTCTGAAGTTTCTAATTTCTTGCTGGTTAGTCATGCATTTTTATCTCAGTATTCTACTGGAAATAATATGGATATATAATAAACACTGAGAGCTGGGCAATAACTAATGATGACAGAAAAAGAATTGATGCCTTTGAGTTACAGTGCTTGAGAAGAGTATTGAACATACCATGGATTGTCACGAGAACAAACAGGTTCATCCTGGAGAAGATGAAACTAGATTGCTCCTTGGAGGCAAGGATTGGGAAGCCCTGGCTGACATAATTTAGGCATGTTGCTAGGAGGGACGAGTCCTTGGTGAGGACATCATGCTTGAAAAGATGGAGGGACAGTGCAAGAGAGGGAGACCCTAGAGGAGAAGGATTTACACAGTAACTAGGATAATAGGAGTAGGTGTGTTGGAGATGATGGTATTGGTTCAGGATAGAACAGAGTTTTAGAACTGTTGCGCATAGGGTCTCTATGAGTTTCAGGCATCTAACAACAACACTACAACAATTAAATAAATGAGAAGCCAGTGGTAAAGGTTAATCATAAAAAGGCTTTATTCGCCAAGTTTTTGGAGAGACAAAACTCCTTTCCTCCATATTCCAGAGGGACTCCAGTAAAGCAGTTATTGTTAATACGATCTTCAAATATTTCCTTGATCTGTAAAAATGGAAATACAAGAACTTTAAGATGGAATTTTGTTTTTTCCTGAGCAATTAAATCCCTTATCTTGGATCTGGGTAGCATAGTTACCAATGATACATGGCTAATATATTGAAAATACAATTTAATGCAGATAGCTATCCAATAAGCTATGCTATTAACTGCCTTTAATTTTAACAGTCAGTTGTTCTCAACCAATAAATGTGTTTTTCTATAGTAGTATGTTTTATATAAGTAATATTAAGTCTATAAAAATTAGTCAGGATTTTAACAGTAGTGTCACCTGGTCCAGGGTCACCTAATGCAGTAATTCATAATGTCATCTCCTCCACCCTATAAACCTCCTCCTGTGCCAGACCATCAAGAATTTTTAGTAATGATTATTAACAATTTTACTCACAGAGTAATATATGATAAGTATAGTTGTAAATTATCTATATATAATGTTTATTAGATTATGTGGATGCTAACAATTGTTTTTTAAAATCTTTTTACATTGAATTATGTTATTAATCACAACATTATTAGTAACTGAGTGGAAGACCTTTTAGACTTTTCTCTTTTCATTTAATTATTGCTTCATTCTCAAAAAAATTATTGCTATAGATTGACTAATACTTATTATCACAATACTGTAGCTTAAATGCCAGAACATTAGACAAAATCAGTGATGGTAAAAACAACAGCCTTCCACACAAAAAAACAGTAGCAGCAACAGGAAATGACAGCACATGATTTTATGACACCATTTGGGAGTGTTAATTACTTACCTTTGCTGCAGGGAGCGCTGTACTCAGCAATTGCAAACTCATCTGGTGGGAACCCCCCCCCCCAAAAAAATAAAAGAAATTATTAGGAGAAGAGAGTAAGGGAAGCAACAAGTGTCTGTACGAATATAAGTCAGTGGAAGGACTTTTACTGTGGGATGTACTGCATCCTCTCAGAAGCATCAGCACCATTCATTAGATTATTCATTGCTTGCTGCTTTATATTGTTATCTTTAAAATGTTTCATTTCACTTTAACTTACATTTTGGAGGAAAGCTATACTTTTTAAAAACTCACACTCTCAGATTTTTTATTAGAAGTTTATAAATTTCTGTTCTACAATGTATGCCACTAAAAATTATTCATAGGTGTCAAACAGGAACTAACTCATAGATGACCTCCCATTGAGTTTCTGAGACTAAATCACAAGGGATGATATTTCCATCTTTCTCCCCAGGAGCTACTGGTGTGTTTGAACAGTCAGAGATATTGTGAGCTTTGGGTTAGTGTGACCTTTGAGTTAGCAGCACAATCAGAATTTATGGAAACAGAAGTCAATAATTAAAAAGATCTAATGTCATAAATCAACTCTGACTGTATGACAACTAAAGTTCTGTGGTCAGGAATTCAGTTTCTATGTGAAACTTTTTACTTACCTGTCTCATAGTAATCATATACTTTTACTATGGCTGGTTTGAGATCTCTTACAGGGTTGTCCTGCAGAACCATGAAGGATTGATTCAGTGTCTGATTTGTCACCTAGATGGGAAAAGAGAAAAAGAAAAATTATCTTCTAAGGATTTTTTTTTCTCTTCTTTGGATAAGTTTATTTATATTCTTTGAGGAAAAGTAATTTTTTTAAAAAAAATCAACTAACTGCACATAGATCTTAAATGATGTAGACAACCTTTATAATAGATGAATAAGAAATTTTTTAAATTGTTTCTTATTCTTATAAGAACACAGATCCCCAGAGCATAGTTCTATTCATAGGAGATGAATAGATAATATGTGATTTTATTGGTTGAATACTTATGTCCATTCTTAGATATCTGAAGATTTGGCATAATTTTTCAGTCCTTATTTCCCCCCTACTTTGTTTTTGTTTTTTGTATTTGCTCACAAAATTTGGGTACATTATGCATCATTCATGCACATTGCGTTTCACACATTCCTACATTCACGCTGTGTTTTAATGATTACTCATATATATTGTGTTTTATAAAATTAATCACCATTGACATATGCCTACTATTACCCATCTTTTCAGGTCCTCAATGGATTTTTCCTGATTTTTTTCATACCCCCGTTTTCTACCCACCAAACTCTGTAATCCTAATGATTTCCTTCCCTCAGTCCTTTTTTTTTTAAAAATAATGTGACTCAATATAGTGTTAAGTCTCATACAATTTATAAACTCCAGAGAACTGAGAAACAATGATGTCAGACTAGAGACTAAGGTGTTCCTGATCCACAATTGTGTCCTCGCAATTACTTGCTGTGCATCAGAGAGCTGGCCAATGACTAAAGATGACAGAAAAGTCAATGCCTTTGAGTTGTGGTGTTGCAGAAGAGAACTGAATGTACTACCATGGACTTCCAAGAAAACATATAGTCTGTCTTAGAGAGTGAAACCAAGTTTCCCCTTGAAGGCAAGGATTGTGAAGCTTTGGCTCACATACTTTGGGCATGTGGTCAGGACGGACAAGTCCTTGTATAAGGACATCATGCTTGGAAGAGAGGAGGGACAGAGAAGGAAAGGAAGACCTGGGTAAGACTGATTGGCACAGTAACTGGGGTAATGGGGTTAAGTGTTTCAGAGTCACTGAGACTGGCTCCGGATAGGGCAAGCTTCAGAGCTTTTCTACATAGAGTCACTATGAGTCAGGCAACTCAACACCACCTCACAACAATTATCCACAAATACAGAAATGAAGAAACTAATGCTTTCACATATAAGATCATATTGGTTCACTGATGGTACTGGTCTTGTTATAGTTTAAGTCCTTGTTCAGATTGACAGTATATCCCTCTTTTTTATGGCTATGATGTAATAATGGACTAATTTCCATTGTGACACAAGGACTTCTTTGGAGAGGTTGCTGTCTATGCTCTTTTCTACTAGCCTGGCAGGGCCCTCACCTTATCCAGGTAAATCAATACATGGTTCATGCTGACTTCTGTCCGGCTGATATGGTTAGATTTTTCAAGCTAAAAGAAAAAAAATCCCGTTGAGAAATAAAAAATGTTTACAATAAAATAATGTTTTTATTACCAACATTAGGTTAAGGATATGATTTTTTAAACATTTTTTTTGTAAAAGAAGATTAGAACTTGTAAAAATATAATGAAAAAGAATCTGAATGTAGAGATTAAATTGACCTGAGAATGACAGATGGTCTGTGTGTAAATATTCCGAACTTGGAAATAACACAAACTTTAAGGATTAATTCACATTCTATTCCTTTATAAGTGAGGTTTTGGTTTTTTCCTTTTTGATTGTGATTTATAATGATCTAATTTTTCTCAGAACTTTTTAATACTTAAGAGTTTGTAAATTTGTCATTTTCCTAGTTATGATTTCACTTGTTCAAATGTTAAAGTTTAACATCTTAAGAAGATTCTATGCTCCGTGGAAGAAGGAACCTACTGAAATGTTCTTCTCGTTGTTCCTTTTAGCAGAGTGCAATACAAATAGTAGATGCCCATACAAACATGCTATATTAAATTTCTGAATTTGGACAAGCACAATTCTCTAATACACACTGATTTAGTAGTGTTTTATTTCTTCCTCTTTAGTTTTTTTTAAATGAGTGAATATTTACAAATCATAATGGTTTTTAATTCAACCATTAAAAGACATTTTTTAACCTTAATTTTAATTGATTAATGGACTTTATTACAACATCTAATGGTCTAGTAGGTTATAGTCTTTGCAATTATGTGCTATGCATTGGAGAGTTGGACAGTGAATAGGGATATTAGAAAGAGAATTGATGCCTTTGAGCTGTGGTGCTGGAGAAGAATGTTGAATATATCATGGACTGCTAGGAGAACAAACAGGTTTGTCCTGGAGAAGGTGAAGCCAGAATGTTTCCTGGAGTCAAGGATTCTGAAGCTTCGTCTGACATACTTTGGGCATGTTGCAAGGAGGGACTGGTCCTTGGAGAGGGACATCAT